TTGTCCCAAGTCCCTCCCCAGCTTTCCTGGAGCCCCTTCAGGCACTGGAAGCTGCTCTAAGTTCTCCCTGGAGCCTTCTCTTCTCCAGGCTGAACACCCCAACTCTCCCAGCCTGGCTCCAGAGCAGAGCTGCTCCAGCCCTCCCATCATCTCCATGACTCTAAAATAACACAGACATTCCTCAGATAAAGGCCTTACCCCAAATCCAACCATATCTGCTTGCACTCCAGGTCTGGTTGCAGCCCTGCAGCCTCATTTCCCCCAAAATAAGTGACGTAGAGTCTTTCAGCAGGGATGCCAAACTCCTTGGTGAGAAGGTCCAGGGCCAGTTTACAAGCAAGTTCCTGCAGAGGAGAAGAGGAGCTCAGCAGGTGAATGCAGAGCTTCTCCTCAACATGCAGCATCTGCTCATGCAGAGCAGGCTGCTGTAGCCACCAGCAGCTCTCTGCAAAGGAACAATCAATACCTTTCAGACTGGCACAAGAACCAGGCAAACCAGTCCATGCAGTGAACAGGGCACAAAAACCATCTCATATGGCTTTCCAGATGCCACAGGTTAATTCCTAGCACATTGGCTGGCCCCAAAACCCCTCTGAAGTTGGCTGCATTCTTAACATCACCTCTGAGAACCCTACACCAGCTTGAGAAGGGATGCTGTTATTTTATACCCATTCTTGTGTGAGGTCTATCAGAGCTCCAGGACAGCCACTAAAACCTCTCCAAGGAATTTAATCAGCTTTGTAAACCTTAAGTAATTAATCTCAAAGTATTCTGCAGGGTTGGGGCAGCTTCCAAGCTCATGTCTTCCATCAGAGGAACCTTAGGAACCACTCTTTGCCAAGATATTCCCCATCCTCTTGGCAAATGCTCTGCTGAGCTGACAGAGACGGGTAACTTTGGGCAGGAGGTTCAGAGCTGCAGCTACTTTACCTTGAAATAATCCCCAAAGGACCAGGACCCCAACATCTCAAAGAAGGTGTGGTGGTAGACATCCTTCCCAACATCATCCAGGTCATTGTGTTTGCCCCCTGCTCGGATGCACTTCTGGGTGTTGGTGGCTCTGCTGAGCTTGGCCAGCGGGTGCGAGGGGTCGATAGTGTTGAGGAAGATGGGTTTGAACTGAGAGGGGAAACAGCAAAGGGCAATCAAGACAAGCACCAAGAGCCTGTTTCCCAAGGGTGCAAGCAATAACGAGGCAGAAAGCGTCATCTGGATCACGATACCACCAGGCTGGACACTCTCCAAGGCATGTGTCAGAAACACCAAGCCTGTGTGCAAGGAGGCTGCAGCTCTGCCTGGGCCTTGGCACACCCACACATGTCCCTGCAGCCCATCAAGCCCCAGGGCTTCCAAAGAGGCTGGAAGATTCACAGAATCATCCCGTCTGGAAAGGACCTCTAAGATCACCGAGTTCAACCCTCAACACAAAAAGACTCCACAGCCTGGCCCACTAGAGCATGTTCTGAAGCACCACATCTACATGGCTCTGGAACACCTCCTGGGATGGGGACTCCACCACCTCCCTGGGCAGCCTGGGCCAGGGCCTGACCACTCTTCTAGTATAGAAATTCCTCCTAATATCCAACCTAAACCTCCCCTGACACAACTTGAGGCCATTCCCTCTGGTCCTGTTGTTATTTACCTGGGAGAAGAGCCAGCTCCCCCTGGCTCCAACCTCCTCCCAGGCAGCTGCAGAGCCAGCAGGTCTCCCCTCACCTCCTGGTCTCCAGGCTGGACACCCCCAGCTCCCTCAGCTGCTCCTGCTCACACTTGTGCTCCATCCCCTTCCCCAGCTCCCTTGCCCTTCTCTGGACACACTCCAGCCCCTCAGTGTCCTTGTCCTGAGGGGCCCAGAACTGACCCCAGTACTCAAGGTGTGGCCTCACCAGTTCCCAGGGGAACAATCACCTCCCTAGTCCTGCTGGCCCCACTATTCCTGATGCAGGCCAGGATGCTGTTGGTCTTCCCGGCCACCTGGGCCCACTGCTGGCCCATGTTAAACCAGCTAATTCCCAGCTAACCAGAAAAAAAAAGTCAGAGAAAATGGTGTGCTGCTCTCCAGCACAGCCCTTTTTGCAGCCCAGCCCCAACCACCCTTTAAAGATGCCGATGGTCACTTGTGCCAGGACCAGCTGAGGTCCAAAGGGTCAAGGAAGGGAGGCTGGCAGTGCTCCCATCACTGCACCACAAGCCCAAAACCTCTCTTGCCAATTTTTGGGAGAGCACAGAGTATTCCAGCAGCCCCATCAACCCCCTCTTTGCGACCAGATGAAGAAAACAACAATCATTTCCCCCCCCCCGCCACCAACAGGTTTCAACTGCTGCTCACGAGGACCTGAGTGGGAAACCCACCTGATTCATGCCAGCATTGGCAAAGAGCAGCGTGGGGTCATCCAGGGGGATGGTGGAGGAGGAGTGCACGTAGGTGTGCTTGTTGGCCTTGAAGAAGTCGATGAAGCGCTGGCGGATCTGGCTGGCAGTCAGGGGAGCTGCCATGGTGAAGCTGCAGGTCCCAGCTGCCCAGGGGAAGCAGGAGGAGAAGACCTGGGTGCAATCTGAGGAGACAACCACCATCTGAGTTCCCCCACCTGGGTAACTCAGCAACTCCCCAGTTTAACCATTGGTTCGTCCCCAAACGGTGCTGAGCTGGACCCAAAGTTCCTCTCCCTCCAGCTCCCCGAGCTCAAACTCCCTGTTCTTTGAAAACAGGTGGTTTTTAAACACCAAGTTCACCTGGACACTGGTCTCAGTGAGAGGCTGTGTCTGTCCTGCCAGGGACAGGGGAGGGGGGGTTCTAGCACCTAAAATCATTCAGGCTGATGGAATCACAGGCTCGTGGTCTGGAAATGACCTCTGAACATCACCTCATCCACCCTCCCTGCTCAAACAGGGTCCCCTCCTGGGGTGCCTGGGAACCTTTCCTGCCAGGAACTGCAACTCCACAGGGACAGCAGCAGCAGGAGGCAGAGGGAGCGGGGAGATGAAGGATTGGGGAGGGAGGGGAGGATGAAGGACTTGAGGGGATGAAGGACTCAGAGAATGAGGGGATGATGAAGGACTTGGGGGAATGATGAAGGACCCGCGGGGGGGATGAAGGACTCGGGAGGAGGATGAAGGACCCGGGGGGGGGATGAAGGACTCGG